TTACTGCTGGGGTTCGATGTTATCGGATCCCATAATCGCCATTAAACCATATCCATAAATTAGCATACGATCTCGTCGACCCCTAACTCGTTTTCGCTGATCCTCTCTCGGTAGTGGCGGTGGTAGTGGCGGACTACTAAAACCCCGTTATATACTCGAATGTCGAATCCAGAGGACAACGGGCGGCGCGGCGGGAATTATCTCTGCCGTGCCGAGAATTCGTCGACGATCAAAGGATTAGAATTCTGCGGGATGTGAATATTTTCCCAACCTGATGTCAACGTCGCCGTGATACATCACCCGGGGAAAAGCAACGCGACGCGGCAGCGTGAATCATCGCGTCGTCGGACACGTCGAGAGAGCGTGTCAGAGGACGACCCTCCGCTCGTTCCGTTTCCGCACTCGTAGAAATTTCGCATAGACCATGGCCCCGGCATGGCGCCGCGACGCGCCGCGACGCGCCGCGTCGCGCCGCGCACGTGCACCGCGCCGCGCGCGAATGGCGCCATAAATTCACGTGTCGTTCTGAAACGTTTACCCTTCCGCCGCTGAATCGCATTTACGACCGTAATTACTTATCCCGGATAATTTAGTCGCCAGCTGTATTCATTGATAACACACGTACATATACAGGGTGTCTGATAATTGTTCTGATCTCGACGACGCGGAATTCGTGGACATGTAGAACAGACTAAACTGAGACGGAAAGTCCTCTACCATTTTAGAGATATTAATTGCTAAAAATTGCTGAAAATTGATCTTCAATAATTTTTCACTCAAATACTATCAACTTTACAGAAAAACTGCGAGAAATGAAAATTGTTTATTTCCTTCTCGTAGAACTCGACGAATTTTTTTCAGAATTTTTTATCAACTTTTTAGTACTGCATTTTCTCATTTTTATCAACATGAGAAAATACGGTATTAAAAAATTCTAAAAAAATTCTAAAAATTCTATTCTTAGAGCTCTATGAGAAGAAAATAAATTCTACATATCCACGAACTCCGTCAGAACAATTATCGGACCTATATACGTCCCTATAATTTGTTCTATAATCTGCCGCTCTCTGTAATTTTCAACTTACTAATATTGTTGCTACTACTGAAAAAAGAAAAATAATACTAATACTATAATAATAATATTATATATAATATAATACTATATATAATAATACTAAATTTTAAGAAATATTTGTTTAAATAGTTCTAAGTAATTAATTTATGCTAAACGCAAACATATATTTATTTGATACAAAAACTATTAATTTAACTATAATTCATTTATTATGTAAATATTTACTTAGTACTACTAAAAAAAATATGTATTAAGACTTAATTTTCTTTCAGTGCGTGTTCCGAGGGAATTAACACGACTGTTGCGCGGTTTCCGCGTTTTTAATTTAACGCTCCGTGGTTGAGTTTAACCGCGTCGAGAAGCAGCTTGAAATAAGACATCACTTTCTATCGGAAACAATAATCACTTTTGTGATTTACATTGCAAATCAAAGTGTGCAATAAGTGTCTTCATATATGTATGACTTCATTAAAAAAATAAATAACACATTATATTCTCTTTACATATACAAAACTAGATTTATACATTTAAACATGTGTGGTATAATATAGTATTACTTTTACAAGGAAAATTAAATTACACACATATATGAAAGCACTAATTACGTACTGGATTTACGGTGTAAGCGAGAAGCAAAAATGATAATTCAATTGTATGAAAATAGCGCCGTATTTATCTATTGTTAATTTTACGAACTACTCGCGCAAATTATAGTCATTCGTCTTTCATTTTTATCTTCTCACTTCTACCTGCTTCGAAGAAGCAATCTAAGTTCGCGTGTCTCGCCGCCGATGCTATCGCGAACGAGCACGTACAAGACGCTTTCCACGATGGATCTGCCGGCAGAAGCGAGGAAGGTGCGCAGCATTCCCATTGTTGGAGTACGAGTTCGGTAGGAGAGAGAGAGAGAGAGAAAGAGGGGGGGGGGAGAGACTGATACTCCGCGTAAAGACGCGTTCTTTACCACCGTAATTCCGTTTCTCACCGCACGCAAACAGCCGTGGTTTGCTTTCTGTGCGACTGCAGTTTTTGCCGCTGGCGTTTAGGAAAGTATTTACGATCTCGCGTGAGGCGATTGTCATAATCGTATCGTTGGTGCGCGAATAACGGTACTCGTCTGTTTACTTGCTACGTAATAAAAAAACGTATTAAACAAAATATTATCTTTGTCCTTTCGTCTGTCGCTTACAACCGATTAAAATCAACAGACAGCAATGGATTTGCGCGTTTTTGCGAGATTATTCGCGAGATTATTCGCTAAATGTCGGTAAAAATTGTTTATACATAATTCTTTGATGTACTTGCTTCGGCAGTACATATACTAAAATTGGAACATGATTCTTTGAGAATGAAGCCCACCACGCACAAAATGACATAAACTGCATGAACAGAAAATATTTTCTTGTGACAATAATTTTAAAATATACGAATTTTTACTTATTACGAATTTTAAAAACCTTATTATTATTTACTCAAACCAAGAATTTATTTTTTTTTAAGAATATTATAAAATTGATCAAAGAAGTAATTTTATGTAATAAGTGAATCGAATTTATTTTAATTTAATAATATTAATTGAAGTATTTCAAACTCACTAAAGAATTCAGAATATATTTTTAATAAATTTGCTTGCAATGAACTTAGGATAGATTTGCGGATTCATAAACTTTTCAAATATTTGATACAATAATTGTTTATATATAGTATGTATTTTTCAATATGTAGCTTATATCAATTTGTGTGTGATAGACTTAAGATTATGGCGCACAAAAAACTTAGAAATAAATCGTAGGTAATAAGCAAATTGGCTAATCATATTAGAAATCGTAAAGCAATAATGTAAGCAAATTCAAAATATTGACTTGCTTACTGCTTAAGTTTTTTTGTATGCTATAGTTTTAATCCTCTGTCGAATTAATCCTAGAACGCTATCAATACATAAATTTTATAAGTAAACGAGGTTATTAAGCGCTAAATTATACCTTCAGTAGTCACGAAAAGATCCAATCTATCATGTTAAAAACTAGGACAAGCGAGGACAAGGTTTTAAAAATTCAGTCCGTCATATATATATCAGATTAAACTCTTTGGTTAGTATTATAACAGAGAGCGTGATAAATGATTTCATTTTTTAAGCAATTTTACATTATATATACATTTTATTGATAAGTGTTATGGGAGACATTAGACATTTCAAGGAATCTCATTGAATCGAATATATATTTATTCTTTCTTTCCTTTTAAGTTAATAATTAAGTTATTTGTATTTCTAAAGAGAGAGATAAAAGTGTGAAACGTATAAAAATTTTGTGTTACATTAATTAAGGATAGTCTATTTCTTTCGTATGTAAAATTTACGTATCGATAGTAATACTGTATCACTCAATATCGATAGTACATTCTATAGGTTTGAACTTTGACTATTCGCCTTTGAAGGTACAATTGATATTTTGATTGTGAATTTTGGGGAAATTTAAGTCTATAAAAAAATAAGTAAAACACAGTTGGTCTTCTTGGTAATAACAAAAATCTACGTTGTTAAAGCTTTTACAAGTTCAAAGCTTTAAGCAAGAATTTTTTCACATTTTCTATACAGTCCAATTTAATTTGCACTGAAGCTTAAAAAAACAATAAAAATATTGATAAAACTTGTTGATGGAAGTTGTAAAATTTCGTATAGCCGAAGGTTAATATTCCACGGAGATTGATAGGATAACATTGCGTGTTATAGTCATGTACAAAAGTAATATAATAAATATAATCATACTTATATGTCGTCCATCTACTGTCAAGCAACTTTCGCATTACAAGACTGCCTGGGAATGTCCACATGGACTACGCTTTAATAAATTTTCTATTAACAAGCGTAAGGAGACAGTAAAGCAACTTCGATCGACATACAGATATAAAAGTTTTGTTGAACCATTGAAATGTTTAATCACATTGGTCGCTAGTCGGAAACTCCGAGTTACTCGACTAATATAATTAAACGAACAACAGACAGTACATTTAACCGTATCAACACTAATTAATAACGAGGCTCAAAGAAACTCCAGAGTAATCTCTGCAAACCGCGAGCAATGATAACGGTGCTTTCGTCGTAGTTTTCAGTCGAAAGAACTTCTGAAAGAACGGAGAAAGCGCCGAGAAAAAGTTCGCAAGTAAAAGCGGAAAGATCACCGGGGAAAATAAGATAAATGCATTCTCCTTTCTTAATTTCTGGATTAACGAACAACGCAGGGAAGGACTCGAAGCTTTTACTTGGAAATCGACAGAAGTCGAACGTGGGTTTTGCGAAAAAGGCGATCGCGATCTGCCCTCCCAGGAGATACTCGCTGAGAAATCTTGCCGCGTATTTTCTTGCTTAATCTCCGTAAAAAAGATAGGATTCCAGGTAAAAAGAGGGATAAATTCATAAGTATTATGAATTCGTCATTAAGAAAAATTCGCGAATGTATCGCTTCTCATCAGTTTCGATTAACGGGAAATCGAGACCGCTTATCTCGCAAAGGCGTGACATAATATCGTCGTTGAAGATCGGATGCGCCAGAGGTGAACGATACCAGAATGGTAAATCGATTCTATACAAGATAGCCTTGCGTATTGGCGAGAAGATTGACTTATTGATCGAGCATGAGCTTCCCGTCGAGCCGGGTAAGTGAACTCGACATTGGATACAGCCCGACGATCATACGTCTCGCAACATCTGATCTCGTGTTTGTCCGCGGAGGAGTGTTCAGGTGTTGTTCAATCAGTCTTCAGAGCGAGCCGCTGATGTTCCGCGTCTCACATTTTATCGAAAAATTAATTTATCTAACACTTCATGTTTCATGTGAGACAAAGGAACTTCATCGCGTGATAGTTTTAGTTTTTCAACTCTGCAATAATTATTTAAATAATAATTAAACTTTTATGGAGGACTTACCTTCAAAATGTTTTCTACATCTGGAGTGTCAATTGATGCTCGCGAGTTAGATCCCTGAAAAAGAAAGATTAAACAAAATTAGTTGCGATTGTCGTAATTTGTCTATCTTTATATACTGTGTTTTTATTAATCAGCGATGTCACAAATTGGATAACTTTTCCCTAATTATTGTACTAGGTAAAATTTTATGATTTTCCTCTTTCAATAATATTTTGAAATTTTTTCTATTTTCGTCCTAGAGATCAATCGTGTAACTTTTTCCCTAGGGTAAAAAGTGAAAAGTGTTATTTTTCATATACATATATATATATATATATACGTGTATATGTACATACATGCATAGATAAAAATTTTCACTTTTCACATTTCCGTCCTAGGGAAAAAGTTATATGACTAACTCCTGATTCAAAACCGTTAAATATTTTGTTGAGATCAATTTAACATACCATGTAAATTCTTATTAATGTTGCCACTTAATTGTTGATACTGCTTGCATTTTTAATTATTAGGTTCGTAGTATTCTAAAACTGCATTGGTATAATGTTAAAATTTTTCAAAGCAAAGAATTTTAATTTTCCAGAAAATTTTGCAAAATTCTTTTATTTTTTCCCTTTCCAAATTCATAAGTCGATTTAAAATCGATTGATTTTAGGACCATTTGATTTAATACTTACCTGATTTTCTATTGATTTTCGGAAGAAAATCAACATTTTATCGATGACGCAGCGTTGATAAAATGTCAATCAATCTTCTTCGAAGATCAATAAAAAATGTAATCGATATCAAATCAAACAGTCCGAAAAATCAATCGATACCGATTTGATTTCGATACCAGATTTACAAACCAGAATTAATTTGCCTGACCATTTTCAATTTCCCTGATATAATTCCCTGATTTCCAATTTTGTAGCAACCCTGTTAATATATTAATGTATTAATTAAAATTAAATTAATATATTTAATATTAATTTATTAATAAAATAACAAATCTATTTCTATTAGAATAAAAACATAAATGATGAAAAAAATTATATCATAAAGAGTAACGCTATTTTAATTTGGATAAGTATTCGAAGTTAAACAGACTTTATTTCCTCGACAGATCGATGTCTCTTTTCGTGCGCATAAAAATCAAATTTAAAGGATCTCATACGCATTCGCGGGATTAATTTATACAAACGAACGTATCCTCCCTCGTGAAATTTCTTCGCGATTTATGACGAGTCTCCTCGAGCGATCATTAATCAACATCGCCAAGAAGAGAAGGCATTGAAAAGGCTGGAAGGAAGGGTGTGAGACGAACGGAGGACACATTCTGAAAGGTGGTATTACGGACAACGTCGAGTAGTCATTCCTGGAAAGAAAACGCGTGAACAATGGAAAATGCGTGAGGATGGCTCGAGCGCCGGATGATGGGAGGGAAAAGGGTGACAGGGATGCGAGGAAAGGGTTGAGAGTGTCTACTAACTTTTAGCCGGAGGACACCGCGTCGCGGAGAACGGAGCGAAAAACGGAGGCAGAACGAGACTGGATAATCACAGAAAAGGAACGAGCGAAAAATGAGAAAACCCGAGAGAGACAGAAAGCGAGAAAAAGGAGATAGAGATAGAGATATACTTGTACATATTTTATTATACTTGCGAGCAACGATAAATAGAGAAATGTTTAAATTACAGTAATATTTAAATTACGAATTTGAAAGAAATTAATAACCTTCAAACTTGTTTATGAGCAATTCATAATCGAGTAGGATTTAATTATTTCGATTTTATTTTTGTGCTGTACCGACAGTACAGTTAATTAAATTATTTCCGACAAAAACACGCAAACACGAATTACTTTTTGAACAGAAATATCAGATATTTATGAAGGAATAATAAAAGATGTGGGTGAATCGGAATAAAAAAATGGAGAGAAAGTAACGCAAGAAAGACTCAAGGTACATTATTTCATTAACAACGTACGACGATACTTAGGTTGCGAATTTATTTCCTGGTTGACAACCACCGCATCCCTCTTTTTTCCATTTACCTTTCTTTATATATAATTCCAAACTAATTTCGCGGATGAGGACGAATGGCCGACGACTCGAACGATCCGACGGCACCCATTGTCAAAGAAAGAAGAAAAAGAATGCCGGAACTATGGAAGGAGCGGCGAAGGGACGGACGGGAATCAATTTTCCAGAAGAACGCGAAGGAGGGAGGAGAAACGGGATGCTCCTCACACTCCGGATCGGTCCTAATTGTATAAGTACACCCGAAGAAAGAGAGGCACTTCGAAGATGGGCAACGTATGATCGGCAAAAGGAGGAACGAAGGAAACACAGAAAAAGGAGACACGATCGATAGTCAATCTCAATGAAATTTGCACCTCGAGGAGCTAGACGTAATAGCACCCGCCGACTCGAAACTTCAACTCTCCCCTCTTCCTCTTTATCCCTACTCCAACGATCTGGACCACCCCGCCCAGCTGGATTTCCATTGAAAAGCAATTCGTTCTCTGTCAACGAGAGCCTGTCGAGCCAACTGGTTTCGTTTGATACCCACCGGATGATCTCGGAATGGAAATTCAAAGTCGGCGTAAAGGAGAAAGAGGATGAGGATAATAATAACCTCTTTATTATGGCTGCTTGATGATTAATGCCATGGTTGCTTGATCTTTCTCCTGTGATTTGCGAAGGGAGGAAACGTCGTGATTTGTTCGTCTGAACGCGGAAACGAAGAGCGTTCCAGACGTCGAGGAGTGATTAATAATTGAAGGCATTGCTGTAGTAACCGAACAACAATTCGGTGTATCAATTTTTCCAAAAATATATTTTCATGTATTCGTAATTAATGTAATTATTATAATGATTATTTACTGTACCAATCGCGGACGCTCAATGAATTGCTAATGCACTTTACATATATTCGTTGGTTAATTAAAATTTAAAAATTATCTGATTTTACAGAGAATGATATCGAAAAATATCGAGAACAGTAATTTACCAATATTAAAATTGCATTATTACAATGGAGTCCGAAGAATAATTAGGAGTACATAGGGAGGATTATTGGCAAGCATAATGATTTCCAGCAACTTGTTAATTTCGACAGTGTCTCGTTTAGTAACACGCGACAATAGCGTCGAGCCGCCGCGGAAACTTCGCTCTTAATCTTCTTACGTGACAAATAATCGCAACTCTCGGCGAGACGTGCTATTAAAGTAGTTCGAGACTTTGTGAGTCTGGCATCGCCGCGACATCACCGGCGCACTCATCGAAAGACCGCTAATATCATGTGAATGTTAATGATACGTTAAACAAAAAATCAATGCATTAGATGGAACAGGAACACAGAACAGGATATTTTAATTCATGAGTTTTATTCCGATAAAATACACTGCTTAATTCGATATTAAGTTATACTCAATTATATTCCATTATGCTCAATTTGAATTATTTTTGATCATTTCTAGGTTATCATTTCTCATGGCACGATTACTCCTATTTAATATGTCGTTAATTTAGCAAAACAGTGGAATTAAATAATTTAATTATTGCTCCTTTAATATTTAAGAATGTGACTTATAGACTTTCATTATGTATTGTAATTTTGCAATCGAAATGCGGAGAATATTACAACGATCGATTAGTTTCAAAAATTACATTTCGAAAGTTTTCAGAAATTCTTTATCACGTACATGACGTGAGACATTGATAGTAAAATAAAAAAATCAAAAATAACGATTTAAAACTGTCTACTACCTTGGTTTATGCTTCGGTCTTAATACTAAAATCCTAAAATTTAGCAATGGAATATAGATTTCAGTTAGGACCAATTAAGACTGGCAGCTCTATTGGCTGATTTTAGAATTTTAAAGTTAAAACCGAAGCACAAACCAAGCATACATAAGGCAGTATTCACAATGATTGTTCCTTTAGCACTGAACATATCAATTTATACAGAAATTTCTCTCTGGTCGATTATTTATTTCTCAATACCACTGGAACGCTTTCAAACTTTAGATTAATCTTCTTGCTTTTCGACGTGCATGCGAGACATTCCAGAAATTATGTACAAGCATTCTTCATTCACGTGTTCGCAGGTCAGTACTTCTACGATCATTTTTCATACTCGTCAGTTTAGAATTCACTCGTTCGCAGTAGAATTAACCAAGACAGCGAAAGAATCGATAAAGAAAAGTTTTTAATATTATCGCTTTATATAATCCAGATAATAATTGTAATATTCATGTAAAAATAAAAAATATATACAATAAAATCATCCTTTTTATTTCCTTAATAAATCTTTATCTAATCTTTTTATCCCCTCTTTTTATAATTTCTGATGATTTCTTATTCATAAAAAATTCTCATAACATAATTCGGAACATTTTATCGTGTTTTCTCATTTTATCGTGGCGCTGTTATATTAATACCTTTCGATCACTATCGTCGCTCTTTCGACCCCACGCTATCTATGTCGCAGGAAACACGCGACTTCCGGGACACCCCGCGTGCAAACAATCTCCATTCGAAGCGAAACGATCAACCCTCCGTTACCTCCGAAAAGCCATTATCGTCCACTCTCGAGGGAACGGATGGTCATTGCGCATGCAAACCATATCCAAAACGATTCAAGTCATCAGAGCGATCGACGCTCGCGAAGGACAGGGACACAAAAAAAGATCGATTACTCACGTTAACTTCAATCAGCTTCAGTCGGCAGGCGAATTGAGTGCGGCTTGAGATGCCGCCGCCAAGGTTACCGACAACACTTCCGCTGGAATTGCCGATCGGTATCGTGCCGTTACTTCCCCCGGTGGAGGATGGTTGAGGCAGCGGCGGGCCCTTAGCCGGAAGTAACCCGTGGCTGCGATGATCGTTGCCGCCGTGCTTAACCGATTGGCCAGGATAACCACCCCGACCACCGTAAGGCGGTTTACCGTCGGCAGGTTTGACGAAACCGCCCCGCTGGTGACTTGCACTCGACGAGGAAGACGCGGCGCTCGTGCCCCGAAGTCCACCAGGCTTCTTGAACTCCGGCCCCGAGGATGGGGAACAGCTTCTGCCGGAGCTGTCCGTGCCCGACTTGTGGGCGGAGGGCGTCGGCGAGGGCGCCGGACTCTGCGGGATGCCACTCTGTTCGATGCCGAACAGGCGCTTAGGCTTATCGAGTAGATGCTTCACCAGCGAATAGTTGCCCAGCTTAGACTGGATTTGTGGATCAGGATTCACCTGAAAAAAGAGAAAGGGTAGAAAAACATTAGTGACGTGAATGAGATCTGTTATTCTGTGTCACAACTCGACTTTAGCTTCAAATTTCAGATACTTCAAATATCTGAGAAAAAAATAAGTAATTTATGTATTAATGGTATTCGATAATTCCTGATATTAAACTCTTGAAATTGTAAGATTTAATAACGTTAAACAACAAATTTTTGCTTCTTAACAAGTAATAGATGTTTCTTGTAGAGCTTTTTACATTGAAAAAAGATATGCTTTTCAAAACAATTCCATCACCCTTTAATTAGAAACTTCAATTTAAATTTTTTTATGCAAATTTGTAATATATGTATATAATATATTATAAAAGAGATTTAAATATTTTTTAGAATATATGAAAATAAATATAAAGTCCTTTCATTATTTATGTACAATTTTAAATGAAATATTCAAATAATAAAATTTAGTACAAAATATTTAATGTTAAATATTAGTGATACCAAAGCTCCTCAAAACTTAAATGGTGATTCTTATGTACAATTTTACTCCGTAAAATAAAAAAAAGTTATTAAATTGTTAAAAATTGTAGTTTTTTCAAAAATAAAATTCTTAATGTCTTAAAACTTGTGGAAACTGTTTTAATTTTTCTTTCTCAGCAGAAAAATACATAAAAATCACCATTTATAAGAGTTGAGAAACAGAAACCCTGTAAATTTGTGTAATTAGCTTATACATGTTACTTAAGAGAGATTAACGTGAGTATATAAAAGCTCGAAAAAGCATTTTCGCATAAGATTTGTTAAATGTCAACAGAAAATCTGCTGTTAATAAACGAAGAAAAAGCTGCGCGGCAAATATCTCGCTCGTATCTTAGCGATAAGATTCTTCGACGGGTTACGTTATCAATTAGCGCATTTTTAATTAGAAAACCACAGGGGAAATTCTCAATTAACTTAACGATCTCATATAAAGCTGCTAATTGCTGCTTAAGCTTTCACCGGGAGAAATTCATTTCATCGTCACCGGGAAATCGCGGTGACAAGTTACATCTCAGATGATATACGCCTAAATAGAACACGATGGTCGTGAGGGGTAATATAAGGGTGACGACATACATAACGAATCAATCATGTCACGGTGACGCTCTATAAGCAGCCTCAGCTCCCGTCATTTATCAAACAAAGATCGGTGATGAGAGCGATCGGAAAATGTAATCACTGAAACCGTCAGTGGCATTCGTATTTCATCCTTTATAACATGTATATATATATATATATCAATATTGTATATCAATATTATATGTCTGTATAAAAATTGATAAAAATTATAAAAATTTAAGTAAAAAATTATTTGCAAAAAATATATAAACGCAGAATCAGAATGTACCAATATAAATTCACATAGAAATATATATATACATATTTAAATAGTAAGATCCGCTTCGATTAAAAATAGATATCTCTTGTTTTTTAATTAGATTTATTCTTATTTTCTTTACATATCAATATATATTGTTCTCAATATATATTGTTTATAACTTTTTACTGACTTTTTTGAAAACTTTCTTACTGTAGTATTTTGATTCATAAATTTTGGAACACTCTGTACATACATTTTCCAGTCGCGCACTGATTGCACGGGCAATTAGCAAAAATTAATGTGTCGAGAAACAGACGGCTGAGTTTACGACATACAGTGTTCGACTGGTAATTTAGCGTGTAGCGCGCACTAATATGAATCACGTTTGTTGTACGTGCGCAATAATACGACCGCTGTTCTTGCCATACCTCGCCTCGGCGAGCAACCACGCGTTTCGCCTTTGTCCGTTAAAGACAATGAGATCGAATCGCGGTTTAATAAGGAGGTCGGCGAACGGCGCAGGGTTAGTGCGCCAAGAGGGAGAAACTTAACGTGATTAATGAGCGCAGCTATAAATCACGTCCGCTTGTTAGCGCCGGAAGACTTTTTCGCGCCAATCGCACTTGTAATGAAGGCGCTCGGTACGATGCGCTTGAGCAGGAATTTCGGAAAGGAGCAACCCAGTGTGCATAATTCTTACACGTACTCACGTAAAAATAATGGTATCGACGATGACAGGAATGATTGTCGAGAGAACGACTGTAGTGCGATTTTATAATGAAGCGACTAGCGGGCCATCATCGTTAAATAAAATCGAATATAATTATAACAAAACAAACAATTATAACTGAAATAAATAAAAAAGCGCGAACGTCTGATATAAGACGTTCTAAATATTCTTCTGTAGAAGTGAGTAATATTCTTAAATTTTCTTTTTTACAGTGAAACATATGTCCATTAACATTATTCCAAGTATTGCAGTATCATATTTTTTTTTATGACATTTCTCTAAATGAATCCACACTAATAGGATAATATATTAATATCTTAATTTCAAACGTCAATTGTGAAGGGTGGATAAATTTTTTTAAAAAGGTTCAAAACCTAGTTTATTTCTAATTATTTAATATTTTATTCAAACATTAATTACCGCGCTATATTTATATTTGCCGCTTTCCTTCTAATGTTTTTTTTTTCATTTATAATTTTTAAGTAATAAAAATTGCTGAACAGAAACATATCTCTCAAAGCATTGATCTTTTCTTCTGAATCATCCTACGATAGGGTTTCGTCCCAAAGGCACGACAGGACATTGACGTGCCTCATTAATTAAACCCCAAGGTACCACTTCCACGAAGTTTGCGGTAGCTTAAACGCAAGAGAGAAAAGGAGAGAGGCAGAGAGAGAGAGAAAAAAGTGAGTGAGTGAGTGAGAGAGAGATGAGAGAAAAAGACGTAGCGTAGGTAAGACCAGGTCAGGGACTTTTCATCCGCCCTGACCTCACTCAACCTCGTCTCCGCCTCCAGCCAGCCAGTCAACCACTCCCGCCAATCTCCGCCACCGTCGTAGTCGAGTGGTGCTCCACGTGTGCCATCCAGCAGCGTTACTCTCTCTGTGCGTACACTAAACAACATGTACGACTCTATTCATTTCGTCGTAAAACGTCCGTAATTATAGCGCGCCATATAACGCCATATTGCGAAAGATGATACCAGCAGGCGATGAAAATGCTCGCAGCCCGTGTGCGCACAGGAGATCGATAAACCCTGCTCTGCTTGCCAACGAGACCACTAAGCTCCAAGCACGTGGAGTAAATGACTCTTACCGGGGATGAGATATTCTGGAGGAATCTTCTTTGAAATAGATTAACAGATTATAGAACCGATGGGAATTAATGGAAAATAGAAATTCGGAATTGCAACACAAAGGCAAGCTTCCATAGCAGATTATTGTCAAGGGAACATCATTTAAGTCTGGTTCCACCGATGTAAGATTATATTTAACTTATGATTTACTATTTTCTGAACTTTATTATTTTCTAATTCTTAGAAAAAGATAAAGAATAAATTGAACCAAGATTAAGATGTTATCCAAAAAAATTATTATATTTTATCCACGATTCGTTCAAATTTTATCTAAAATTTGAATTTTAAGTATCGGGTACACAGTATATGTACGTCAGCACAAGAACATGAACTCTTGCACTGTAGTTGCGTTTTTTGAGGGAATACAATTTATTATATTATTATAAAACTGTGTGGTTCATAAAAATTAAAAGTTAGTTATCGCCATGACATCTCCTTACTTAAGAACCAATCACAGAGGCTGGTCACGTGACCTATTGGTATCTCTTTTCTGTACATGAGGGTTTTCCATTGCGCATTCACTGCGCGTAGGCAACACTTTTATATAAGGAAAAGTGGAGAGTTAGCAGTCTAGTCTCTTCTATTGTAATAGAAGTCTGTGGTCGGGCCCGAGTTTTTGACGCACACGCATAAAACTAAAAATTAGAAAAGAATAAATTGATCCGAGATAAAAATTTTACTCAAGATTACAATTTTATTAATTCTCAGAATCATAAAAAAAAAATAAAAAGTAAATTAAACCGAGATTAAAATTTTATCCAAGAATCATTCAATGTAAAATTAATTTTAATGTTATTTGATTTTTTTATATTTGTAGAATCGAGCCTTAGCAATTTGAAAATAAGTATAAGCCTAGAAATTTTCTCGGAGCACTTCTAACACCGTGCGCTCATTTCTACAATCTCTCAGAACTGCCTTACATATAAATTTATCCATGAATCTTAAACAAAAAGATACAAAATTGGAAATAGTCAAGGAGAGAGATGGTTACTTCGCAATTGCGCGAGATAACTTCGGTTCTCTCTTCACGTACAAACAAGCAGGCTGGTGAGCGATCTCTCTCTCTCTCTCTCTCTCCCCCTCTCTCCCTCCCTCCCTCTCTCTCTCTCTCTCGGTTTACCTGCATCGCCGAGTGCCAAGCAAATATCGCCGTCATGGTACCTGCACGCGAAAACGCGGCTGTCACACGCGCGGTCATGCGATATTTATGAGTCTATGCGAACTCGCGATTCGACGCGAATATATGAAAGTGATTCTCGTGCGAGCGTCGCGGCTCCGATCAAGAGCGGATATCCGATCGAGCTTTGATCCATTTAACTAACACATCACGTCCCATCGAACTCACATTCGTTCTGTGCGACATATTCCAATGCGCGAAAATTGTTCTTCGCTGGCCGCCGCTTCATTGTATAAAAAGTTTAATTTCTTTGTCTTTTTCTATCTCTTTACACATTTGTGTTTCAATCATAAACGTATATAAAAATACCTCTCTTGATTTAGAAAAGAAATTTTTTAAATGCTTGATTATTAAATGACTGAGAATGAATATATGAGAGAATGTTAGTTGAATTATTAATTACAAAAACACACGATAACAATAACTACAATTTAAACAAAGAAATAAAATAATATCAGCTAAAGAAATACTTTCTTTACATGATCAACTGTCAATTTTATCGTTTTTAAATCTCTTTTAAAAAAAAAACCACTTTTTGAGTTTTAATAATTTTTTTATGAAGCTAAATTAGTTCACTTTTAACGATTAATAGGGTAATATTTTCCCAACTCGTTCATAGTAATAATTTGAGTATCACATTTTTTAGTTGTGTCACTTCTGCAAGAGAGCAAATATGTAAAGTATGTAAATCAATTATGTTTACGATCTACCGATCATTACGAATCGCATGAATATCGTTTGAATGCGACTGAAACACAAAGCAATCGATTATGTATGCGAGCACCGCTAAAGATCCATTGCAGCACAATAGATTTCATTACGACCTGTGTGAGCGCAACTTCTCACTGAAAGAAGCTCAAAAAAAAACCTGGATACATTCGAGTCTAAGTTAAGCTTCTTACTCCTAAAAAAAAAATTCGACAAAGCTGCAGCTATTCGCTAGTCCCGCATAATCATGAAAGATATTACACAGAATTCTCACCAAACAAAAAATACTTGTAAAGCTCGGTGCAGTAAACTTTTATACGCAAATATTCCAAAATGCTTGATATCTCAAGTTTTTTTTTTATTTAATTTAACCGACTTTTACTTCCATTTCATTTTGTATTCATTATATTCTACTTTTTCATTCGTTAAATAATTTAATTGTATCATGATGTTTTTGTGCAATTATTAATCAATATTTTCAATTAGAAAAGATTCTTTTAATACAATATCGAATATTTAAAAAGCTCAAAAGGATAAGGCAAAGACAAACACGAAAGATTAAAAACGATTTAATTGAAAAAAAAAGACACTGTAAAATGTTTTAAAGACTCGTTCTGTTCTTCTCAACGTTCGTGTTTGCGTTTGATATGCGGCAGAAGTTCGGCATCGCAAAGGGTGGATAAAAACACGGTCGGGGTTGCGACTCGCGGTAGAATGAAGAAGGATTTAAACGACCTTTCTCGCTTCTCCTATTCCCACTTTCTCCCTTTTATAGTATGCATACATTCGCATAATATAATGGCTAGTATTACGAAAAAGGAGAGAAAAAGAAAAAAAGAGAGGAAGACGAACCCGAAGCGAGGGTCAGCGAACCGTTCGCGAAGGGTGGGATGTCATTTTCTGCGATTTTTAACGGAAATAGTGGGGACACACAGTAGCCTGCACTGATGAAAAATATTAAATACAAAACGATCGACAAAATTTGTCGGGTAACGCATATTAGTAATAAATTAAAGAGATTAGAAAAGTCTTAAGACACAGTTGATTAATTTTAGAATCAAAAGCGAAATAGATAAACTATTACTCTTATCGATGAATTTTTTAGCCTTTAAATAGGTAGATAATTTCAAGATACATAAATTAGAAGATAGAATACTCAGAACGTACCAAAAAAATTTAATTTGATAATTATATTTTTTACAGGTAGATATATTGTGTTAAAATTAAATTTATATAACAATTTTAATGCAATTATCTTACATAATAATGTTATTTAACCTAAACGGTCTTGTTTCCTATCTTAATGCAATTATGTTTATTTACTAATGTATTTATTAATGTGTTACAATTAAACTTACATTATTACAGTTATATTTTTATGAAATAAAGAAATATAAAATTAAATAAACTTTAAAACTTCTGGGCAATATTTCTTATTTTTCTTTTCAAAACAAGATTTCAAAGAAAACTATAATAAACCAGAGGAATGATATTCCACCCGACTTAAAAAGTTAAAAGTTAAATAAATCGAGTATGGTAACGAGCAACTTGAGAAATTCTTAAAACGGTCTTAAAAAGATAACAATAACGATTATCCTATCTTTACTTTTATCTCTGTATCACTTGTCGTCCGAAATGTCTGACCGTCTTTCGCTGCGGAGGCTATTCACTTTTCCGACGAGTAATTCGTCCGTAACGGTGCGGACGCGAGGCGTGTAAATTCGCTCTGAGCGACGAAAAAGCCGCAATAATTTCGAGGACAAGGCAGGTGGATGTCTCGTTTGAGATTTCGTAAGCCGCGCGGCACGTACAGCTCCTTTCTTCTTCACCTCTCTTGGCCTCTACTTTGGCCTCTACGGCTCGTCGAGAGAAGATATATATTCTTGCTCGGCGGCGACGGCACTTGCCAACCCGTTCGCTGACCCATCGGTGTGCACGATTGCCGAACACCACCGCGCCTCTTCATCTAACAGCTGCCGCAGTGAAGGACCCGAAATCTCGATCCCGCTATCGTAAACCGTCCTTATGACGGTTAGGTTAGCGCATTAATATGAAGACGAAGAAGAAAAGAACGATTTTGCTGAGATGTCTTAAAATTTAATTAGATATAGTACCTTAAAATTTAGTTAAACTTTGTTGGACTCAAAATAATTATGTTGAACATTCAAGCCAGATGAGCAATGCTAAAAAAATTTTGACATTCTAGCAACCATTTTGAGCGTCCTACATAATTTTTGGATTTAACTAAATTTTTTAATTCTTCAGTAAGACTGTTCTTTCCATATACCTAAAAATTTATCTAGATAAAGATGAAAATAATTTGAAAATAATTTTTTGTTGGATTCCAACAAAATAATTATCTAGGACACTCTGGATAGTTGAGCAATGTCAAAACTTGTTTCAGTATTGCTCATTATATTTCAATTTCCTGTATAATCATTTCGATTATTCAAAAAGATTACTTTCAGATCTGTATCTGTAACTAAATTTTTAGATCCTTCAAAATATAATATAAATGTTTTTTTTCCATATATCAATATAGACTAAATGATAATTTAAAACTTGTTTTCTGAATGATAATATTAAAGATGAAATTCGTAAATTAGTTTCTAGGTATTTAAAGACCGTCTTAAATAATGTTTTAAGATGCTAGTAAGACTGTGATTGGTTCATGACATCTTAATACTGTATATGACGTATTTATTATATCTGAAGTATCTAAAAATTTAGCTTTGAAAATAATTTAGTTTCAACTATCAAAATAATTAACACAGGACACTTAAGCTGAATAGTAAAATGTTTTGCAGCATCGCTCATTATGCTTCAATTTCCTATATAAATTATTTTGATGTCCATCAAAATTATGTTTTTTAATTTAAAAATT